GGACATCCACTAAATTGTCGTCAAGAGAAAAGCAATTTTATCTGCAATAGTCTCTGGATGTCGATGGAAGCTTTTGAGTACTACTTAAAAAGTTAACAAAATTTGTAGGAAGTTCAACACTTTTTCTTAAGTTTTAGGTGTTACTACAACTAAAACTTTTTAAATAATAAGAATGTGATTGTACAATTGCACAATCCATAGTTGTTTAACAAATTTCCGCATATTTAACAATAGCGCCAAAATTACTCTGATGGAAAAAATTAGTTAATACCTGCACTTTCACTGCTTTCGCATTAAAAAAAACACCTCCTTTCAAAGCCTCAAACATCTAACAAAAACTACGGTTGCAACAAATAGAACTGAAGAAAAACGCAAAGAATAGCGACAAAAAAACGATACAAAAGAGCTCAACTAGAACGCAAAATGATTCCACAAAACATCTATTGTTCAAGAAGGTTTATGCTTCTCCGATTTACATTTGTGTTGGTGCAGAAATCATCTGAAAACCGTGAAGTGTACGAACAACTTTGCAGAAGATAAACCGTTTCAGTTTGAAGCCGATTCCTGTTAGATATGTTGAAGTAATTATAAAACGTTATGTTCGATATGTTTTTGATATTCAAGTAAATAACCGCACACATGATAACGATCATATAGAACATGCAAATTAAAACAAAACACCTGAGAATGCATTCAGCGCTCAATATCGCTGTTTCTGTGTTTATTCTGTCTGTTTTTATTCAAAAGATGCATTTGACTAAGCAGAAGGTTTGTTTGTCTGCTATTTTTAATTGTGTATTGTTTTCTTGCGGGATGGTTTTAATTGAAGACGATTGATGTTACAAGTACATATGAATAAAATGGGTTTGCGTCAAAGGGTCATTCATTCTTCTGATCATTTCCTTCTGATCTCGTGGTAGCTTCAGAAAACTTCGACGAGCTTCAAAAATGTTAACTTTGTAAAATGTACCTCGATTCTTTTGACTCTCTTTTCATTAATTGCTGGGTTAAAAAACCGATTAACCACTAGAAGAACTTTTTGAAAAGTTATCTGAAACAAATCTTAGAACAAATTCATAAGACTACCAAAAGAACCTGATGTACTTACTTAGTTTAATGAAATAATTTATAAAAACTGCATTGAGGTTTGACTAAAGGTCGAATTTCTCCTGGCCAGTTATTATCCTAGATCTACCTAACATGAATGTTAATTGAATGCTCGCAATGCAAAAAGTCCCTCACGTATATGTAAAAATGTAACATATACTTAATGCAAATCGGATCGTGTAGTAAAACCTTACGAAAAACCGATTTGCCAGGTTTGCAACAGCGTCGCTGTTTTATTGTGCTGCTTTATATCTCGATGCGAATGTTATACAAACATAATAAGTAGCTTCTAGTCTATTCAAGAGAAATTCTGCTATAATATCCAACGCAGCAAATAGTAAAACATCACTTACGTACGGCAAATAACTGCAATCTTTCTGAACTAGAAAGTGGTGTAGCAGGAAGTGGAACGTTCGTTATATAGAGGATATAACTTGCTCGTCTCTCTATAGGTTTATTAATATAATGAGAAACAAATTAACTGGCATTCGAAGCGTTTTGAAATAATTACGACTGCGATACCAGTCATTCTATTATTTCGTATTCTATGCCCAGACCAGCGACATGGCAAGATTCCGGGCCCGATCTTTTGTACGGACAGCTCCCATAAATTTTCATTATAGGGAACAATACAGGAAACTGCTTTTTTTCGCTTTCAAATTATTACCCATTAAATGTACACATGTTAAATCCATCACATCAGATTCTCAGGTATTAATTTAAAAGAATTGAAATGCTCCATGTGTTGTATAGAAATGTTCGCTTGTTGTAAGTTCAAGCATGTCAGAACTATACGGTTCAAAAGCATTTGCAGTTTTTGGAATCATTATCGGATTTTACTAAATATTGCTTTTTTATTCAAACTTAAATTTTAGTTTAATTTATTGCGCCAAAGCATTTAAAGACACTGCTAATTTGGCAACCATTTCAACCATAGGCCCAAAGGCATTTTGCACATATTTAAGATGCTTGAACTAAACTCGGAACATTTTTCAATACTTTTCAAAGGTACATCCGAACGCACAAATCGATGATTCGTAAAAAGTGCAAGTAACTGTAAATCTTCATGGCGAATAAACGTTGCCGATATGGTTCCTCCCATGTCTAAATAATCCCCAAATAATATTTAAAATCCGGTTATTAATTTTTGCTGTTGAAAGTGGCCGACATTTGTCTGAAGGCATTCAAGTACTTAACGAATTCTGATACAAAATGTGTTTGCTTCACTTAAAATATGTTCGATTTGGCTCTATTTTTAAATGTATCTCGTTCATAGACATATGAAAAATTGAAATTATGGAAAATTTGAGATAAATATTATATTTAATACTTATAAATTTACTGATTGCCGGTAAAGGGAATTAGAAATATAAAGAAAATAAGTAGTTTAGAGAAACAATTGCTGTTTTGTGCACAAAGTTACAATTGATACACAGCACAAAGTGGCCGTCCTAAAAAGCATCTAAAACTTCGCCTAACTTCTCTAAGTTTTTTCGTTTCAATCTAATAACGGTCGTTCCAACTTAACTGAGTTAGTAAAAATTCGCGTGCTTTAATCTACCGCTCGTAGCAATTTCCAATTTTCAAGATTCTTAAAGAAGACACAACACAAAGAACACCGAAAGTTTTGAAAAATCACCAAAAATCCTGAATTTTTTCAGCATGGGAATGTTTCTACTCAACTGCGTTCTCTCTTTAGGAAATTCGGGTCTTCCAGACAAACGCAAGAAGTTTTTTGAAATTTTGATCATCTTTAGCAGACACAAAAGAGGTGAAAATTTCAAATCAATCGCCCAAAATACTTATTTTTACGAGCTTGGGAAAGATCGATCTTAGAATGAATGTAGCTACTCAACTGCGTTCCCTCTTTAAGAAATTGGAACTTCGAAACTGAAGCAAGTAGCACTTTGCACTTTTTGTGACCTTTAGCAGATATTTGACACAAAATACACTGAAATTTTCAGAACAATCGCCCAAATTCTTTACTTTTATCATCTTGGGAAAGATCGATCTCATAATGGATGTATGTACTCAACTTTTTCTCTCCTTAATAAATTCGTATCTTTCAAAATAACGATAGTAGCGATTTTAAATTCTGAAGATCGTTAGGACATGCCTAACTCAAAATACGCTGAAAGTTTCAGAAGATTCGCCAAACACCATTATTTTTACCAGCTTGGGAAAGAACGATCTAATAATGGATGTGTGTAATAAACTGCGTTCCCTCTTTAAGAAATTCGGATCTTCCGAACTGATGCAAGTAGCCCCTTGAAATTATCGCTAACATCAGCACAAACGTGACTCAACAGACGCCCAAAATGTCATAAAAATCACCCAAAATTCTAATTTTTACCAACTTGGTAAAGATGGGTCTAATAAAGGATGTTTCTACTCAATGGCAGTTTTTCCTTTAAAAAAAGTCTAGTCTTCCTAAGTAATGCACCAAGCAATTTGAAATTTTGGAGATCTTTACGCTTGATACTTGAACCGAAAGACGCTTAAAATTTCATAAAGATCACCCAAAATCTAATGTTTGACAACGTAGTTTATACGAAATATAGGTCTCATAATGGATGTTCCTACTCAATATCGTTCTATCGTTTAAAAATTCGAATATTTCCAACTGACGCAATTTCCATTTGGAATTTTCAAAATTCTAGCAGCAAACATTTAACAGGAAAGATACTGAAAGTTTCATAAAAATCCCTCAGTCCTGATTTTTGGTATAAAAGGTTGCATCTACTCAAGTGCGTTCTCTCTCTAAAAATTCAGATTTTTCAAACTGACGTAAGTAGCAATTTCAAATCACATTTTTTCTAAGAAAAAGTGCTTTAAAAAATGCAATAAAATCAGCTTTCGTTCTGACGTTTTGCAAGCACGAGTGGCTTGCATCCTCAATGATGTCTTGCACGAAATCTTAAGAAACAGCCTAACTAAGCCTGCAACTCAGCCTAAGTCTGAAAAAGTGACCACATAGCCAAAAAACAATGTATTTCCACGTTATTATGCCAATTTTAAAACACTAATTTTTTTAACGGAAAAAGATAAAAAATATCTCATTTTCTCATCTTGCAATTTTTACGGAGAAAATATGGAAATTTATTTTTAAACGCAAGTTTGAAGTAAAGCTTATCTTTTTAGAGGAATATTCGTATGAAACAGATGCCATTCAATTATGCATTAGATCATTTGAAAATAACAGTTAACAGCAAAACTGAAATTGCTACTTCAGTGGGGAGAATTCGTTCAAAATTTTACCTAGTGATTGATTTTAACTCTAATGTTGTCCATGTTTGAGAAATAATCCATATCTTGTTTTTTTCTTACGATAAAATCAGCCAGAATATTAAAAAAAGAATGCAAAAAAGTAAAAATTTCAGATTATGTTCTATACTTAATGCGGCAAGAACCAGACGAAACATGGGACTTTCGTGTCGTTTAAAGAAGCTTTGCAAGAAAAACATAAAAAAGGTCAATACACAAATTGCACTTGAGTCCGTGGTTCAGGAAATTCTTATGTTCAATACTCTACCAGAATACGAATTTATAATGCTAGTTTCTCGATTTTTGTAACAATTTTTCATTCAATAGTTTTCATTCCTTTAAAAAAGCCATTTGCGGATTTCCATTGCATATACTAATTAACTACTCCGATGAAAAATGTATTTTTGACAAAAATTTTTACTCATTGTAACCAATTCTGGCAAAATATGCGCTTTACACCATACAGAAACATTTTTCCTTAATTTAAGCTGGCCGGACTTCAAAGATCAGGGCAAGATTTGCCCGTCCATCTTCACCTGGAGTTCAAAATTAATTTTGAAAGCCCTAAAACTCTTAAACACCCTGTACTACTCAGAACTCAAGAAAAATTCAAACTCATGCAATATTACCTTTAAAATGCATCGTCCCTCCACCTCATTCTCTGCCACGCTGACATTGTAGAAGCTCTGATCGAAGATCGGTTCGTTGTCGTTCACATCATGGATAGTAACCAACACTGTAGCCGATGAAGACAATGGAGGAAATCCATTATCAGTTGCCACTACTGTTAATTGCGGTAAAGACTCGGTTTCACAATCCACATGAGCTCGCGTCGTGATCAAACCACTCCGCGCGTCCACTTGGAACCAGTTAATGTTGCTGTTGCTCGGCTCCAGAAGAGAATACGTAATGACACTGTTATTGCCTTCATCCTTATCCGTAGCAAACACTTGGATAACTGAAGTGCCGGGATCCGAAACCTCCATCACATTCGCTTCGTACACATCTTGCTCGAAATCTGGCGCGTTATCGTTTACATCGGTAACCAGCAGGTTGATAGTTCTGGATGCATGCAAAGGGGGTGTGCCTGTATCAGTAGCAATTACGTTCAGAGTGTAGTTGGGCTGCAGCTCTCTATCCAAAGGCAAATTTACTATCACCAGGTAAATAATATTATCCCTAGTGGTCAAACCGAAATGTCCGTCACCGCCGTTCAAAGTCACGTTCACGTTCGAGTATTCCGTTTTCGAATCTGGATCGTGCACACTAATACGCGCTACAAACTCGCCCGGTTGCGCACTTTCACTAATTTTCGGGGTAGCATCGTCACTAAGGAAAATCACGTTGATCGTTGGCTGATTGTCGTTGACATCGATCACCTTAATCGACACGAAAGTGGTTGCTTCCAGCGGCTGCAGCCCATGATCTTTCGCCACTATTACCAACTCATGCAGTTCTTTGGCTTCAAAGTCCAATGGCTTATTGACAGCGATCACCCCTGAGGATGAATCAATCCTAAACAACATGTCCTTGTCGCTTTGCCTGCGGTTGATGGCGTATTCTATCTGGGCGTTGTCTCCCGTGTCGCCATCACTTGCTAGAACCTGCAGAATGCTGGTACCGATAGTGGAGTTCTCTTGCACTGACCCGAAGTACCTGCTCTGGTTGAAAATTGGAGGATTATCATTCACGTCCTGGATAGTAATATTTACAGTCATTTCTCCCCTCAAAGGGGGCGTTCCCCCATCAAGGGCCTCAATCACCAAGCTGTAGTATTCACAGGTCTCCCTATCCAGAAACCCATTGATCTGCAGATCAAGATAAAGCACCCCATCGCGCTCCCTGTGAGACGACAACCGAAAGGTGCTGTTGATATTCCCGGAAACAATGTTGTACCTTTGGGTGTTGTAAATGTCCAGGTCCAAATCGCGTGCAGGCGGTAACGTCCTTTTCACATCTCGGGGCGTATTTTCCGGAAACTCAATATTCACAAACCTCGACGGGAAAGTTGGCGCATTATCATTCTCATCCAGCACCTTCACCACCACTTTAACATTATCGCCACTCATCGGGATAGCCACCAGCGAGTAACTGGCTCTGGTTTCCCGGTCCAAAGGAACTTTCGTTTTGATTTCTCCAGTCGTTTGGTCGATGGAAAGATCACTGTCCACTGCCGCTCCAACTGGCACGATCAGGTATGGGGGACCGCTGTCTGGCGATGCTCCATCACCAATGAATCCTATTTTCGTGCCGACTGGGACACCTTCAGAGACCTCCAGGTCTCGGACATGTTCAGCTGCTGCTGATACTAACAGGAGCAGATTGGCCAGATAGAGTGCCGCAGCCATCATGCTGGGGACTGGCGGCATGGTCAGCTATCATCGAACATTCTGGAAGAAAACACAGTAAAACGTTGAAATATTTCAGCATAGTTCATTATATTCTATATTCTCGTTTTAGTATACTTGGAAGTAGGATTTCTAGAAGCTCTCTAAGTTTTTTTGCGATTCTATTTATTTATTTCGACATTTTTCAACCGAGTTTTTTTTTACTTAAACCTTAAACCTCGTTAGGGAAATGACCTAAGGAAGAAACAGTTCTGTTCTGCTTATCTTCTTTTAATGTTGAATAATGTTAATTCGACTGAAAACCGAGCATTTTAACTTTTTTCACGAAATTAACTTCACATATTCTTCACAGCATACAACAGCATTTCTTTGAGTGTTTATTCTCTTCATTATTGGGGATTATTTCTATTGTTTCACATGCAAATGCACTGTTATGTCTGATTAAACGCTTGATTTGATATATTGGGTCTGAATGACCAGTAAACTGTCCTTTGAATGGAAAAAGTATGGACATGTACAATTTGCAAATAAAAATTATTTTACAGATTTTATTTCACATCAGCCATTCAATACCCTTGTTAAGTTAACATTATCCGGTTGTGGTTTTTCTTAATTTGTCTTGCAATTTTTTCTACCCACATTAGAAATGGTTCATTGGCTGCTTTGCTAATGTTTTTTGTATTTTTCTTAACTGATCAAATTAAAAATTATCTACATCCAGACATATCTATTTGCATCTTCAGCTTCTGGTTGCTGAGAAATTGTTTGTTGTGCGTTTGACAAAGTTGCACCGTCTTGATTTCGTCAACTTTTATTCTCCATTTCTTGAGCCAACTCCCTATTTTATTTTATTGCGCTGACAGCATAAGCGATGATGCCTGTATCATCAGCAATATAATGAGTATCGGAAATATCTAGAGTAAAGAATGTGTGTTTTGATGAGAAAAACAAACCTCGGAAAATGGCCGAGGTTTGAGCATATTCATACATATTCCATTCCAACGTTTTATTTTTATATTTTAGGAGCTGCTCAGTTTCACCGGTAGTTGACTCTCATTTACCCATTTTACTTCCTGCGAAAGATTCTCAACAACTTTGCTCAACTGTACAAAGTGGTGTCCCATCAATTTTTATTGTATTTTAATATTTTTATTTTAATTCGCTTTGTCCATAACATTGGTTAGAATTTTTTGTGGCACTAAAGCAGTTTCTGATTTGATTTCATAGAGTTAAGTAAGTTACGCTTACCCAGTATTATTTGTTCTGTACAAAATTCTCATCCTCAGATTGGAAAGATACTAAACAGTTCAAAATATTTAAAAAATACTAACAATTATACAAGGTGTGTCAGTAGAGTTTCAGCACAGAAAACAATTTTTTTCCGATAAAACACCCTATATTTTATTTTAAATTTCTAATGAAAATTTAAAATATTTTTCATTATATAAAATATGGACAAAAATTTAATCCTTTTTTAGTTATTCGAATTTAGCGATGAAAACTCGTATTTTCATAGTGTTGATACACAAATTTTGAAACCAAAAAAGTTTAATTAGTAAAAAATTTGTTTTCCGTGATGCAACCTTTCTGGCGCGCTCTGTATACTACTGGCCACCCTGTGTAAATATTTATAAAATATGAGCCTTTACTAAGTGGAACCTTTACAGCTTAACGACGAAAATTTTAAAACAAATAATACTGGAAAGCGTAAACTTGCTTTACTGTATAGTTGGGACACCCTGTAAATACTGACTTGGCAATATTATAAATAAACGAAATTCTCTTGATTTTTAAATAACGATTTATATTTTTATACAAAATCGTGTTTTCGCCCCTCTTACGCTTCGCTTCAATCTAAAACGTATTGACGAGAATTCCCTTGTACCAACAGGAATAATGCTGAAAGCAAAACTACTAACAGCGGAAAATACCGGATTCTAGCGAAATAAATTATATGAAATAAAAAATATGCCCAGGTAGGATCTAAGTACTTAGAATCACCCATAAGATCTTCAAAATCTGACTCCACCTGACTAGGAGTTCAAATAAAAGTTTAGGTTCTATATTCTAACTAAATTCTTAATTGTTCTAGTTTGAGTTATGTTTTCAAAATGCTTCTGTTGTGTATTTTGCCTAAAAAAGAAAAGCAAATAAAATTAATTAAAACTTTTGCGTGGCTTAAATGAAATGAACATGTGGCAACACAAATATCTTGATTTAGTAAAATGAATGTACTTGTTTGTTGGTTTTAAGAACAACAGGAAGAATTTTGTGTAAGATCAATAATAATTTGAGAAAAAGCTTTTAAAATTAGACAATTAGAAATGAAATGAAAATTAAAATTAGACCGATTGAAATTATTACTGCTGGTAAAGATAATGCGACCGTTAATATCAAAGATAAAAAAATCAATGAATTTTCAAATGAAGGAACCCTTTCAAAGTTAATCATAAATTCACCAGAACTTGATAAAAACGAAATGTATACCAATGTCAAAAAATTTTAGTGTACATTCGCATATTACAAAAGGTCGAAATTGCCACCACATTTTTTAGGGCAAAATACCCGATAAAAAGGTGTGGAACACAAGATTCTACCTGCCCCAAAATCGAAAACCTTGTATAGCATCCAAACTAGAAACGATCTGGTGGTTTTTTGCAGTTTTCTGATTCGAAAAAATCAGCTTCTAAAATTTTATGTTAATGCGACATAAATTGCCAATTGCCAACAATATTTAACTATATCGCTGCATGTCAATGCTTCTAGTAGTTTTCAGTGGCGACCGGAATGATGGATTGGTAGAGCAGCAAAGCAAGATTCTTCAGATGCTGGCAAATAATGCAAATCATCAAACACCGGCAAAACCTGATAAAGCGGAGTTAGTCAATGAGTGTTTAGGAACGGAGCCAGAAAGCACAGTTAATTTTGCATTGTCGTCTCAAAGTGACAAAACCGACCTTAACGATGGTACAAAGATGAAAGATAATTACAGAAAAAACGAAGATAAATATGGAATCAGCGCAAGTGTCTGTTTATGATCATGTTCTATTTTCGATTCGTTTTTTCCTGCAACAAAAAATTGTTTCATCAGTTTTAAGGCAACCGATTCCAGAACTCTTTAAACCAGAAAACAAGATTTCGTCAATGAAGGCAAAAATTATATCAATTAAATTCAAGAAATGTTTTGGAGAAGAGAGCTTAAAATCTTAAGTACAGCGATTTATCAGAAAAGCACGGATTTATTTGACGTAACCAACTAAAAATTTGTTTAATACTCTAATGAGTAAGTTCGCTCTTTTAAATAATTAGTTATTACAAAAGTAAGTACTCATCTTTATCCGAATAATAATGATGCTTATGAATGTTGGCTTGAAATTAGTTAGGAAAAGTGAACGAATGAAGCAAATGCAAACACGCAGATAAGCTCGGGAAAATTATATTTCAAAAACACTACGCAAATTTTGAATCAGTGACATTTTCTGACTGTAAAAAACGATCTTTTCATGCGTAAGTAAGTATACACAGTAATCGGTGTTGTTACAAATAATCTATAACGAATTTCCTATGTGAATTGAAAGAGCAAATAAAATTGATCTTGTTACACAAGTAGATAATTAATAAAATTTTCAAACAGTAGAGAGGAATTATTGAAGCGAATGCACCAAGTAGCCGAACAATTATGAGGAAACAAGCGTGAAATAAGAACTGTCAATTGAGCCATTATTGGCATACAAGCACAAGCATTTAGCAAGAAGAGTGTTTTGAAAATATCACTAATTAAATGCCTCCTGATGCCTGTTTTTTGCTGTTCGAAACTTTGCCTAGAGAACTAGAGAACTGTAAGTTTTAGTGTTTTTAGTGCTAAAAAATATGTGGATTTTATGTCCCTGAGTTGCTGAAGTTTTTTGGATCAAACGGAGTAGATAAATACAACAGACCTGCTTTTTTTGTGAAAATTATTTCAGAATTCAAAATAAAAATTTCTACTTTTTTAATCGCCCATTGAAAATATAGTAATCCAGAACAGTTAGGAAGAAGTAAGTACAGAAGATTACTAATAATATTAGCTCAATAAATTGAGATCATCAAGTAAGATTTCCGACTGGTTTCAAAGCGACAATGATAAGAGTTCAATTGAGATTTTAATCAATTAAATGTAATCTAACTTCAATATTTAATCCATTCGATGCTCGCGTACTCTTTGAAATAAAAAAACTGTAAGTTAGTATCAATATTATGTGTGGTAGTTTTCGCAAATTGCTAACATATTAGACTCATACCTCAGCAGCAACAAAACCCAGAGCATGTTTGCTTTAACAGCGCGCTTGCAACTTGCGTGGGGCAAACATAATGAAAACAATAACATAAATCAAAATTAATTTTTAATTATCTGGCTTCATTAATATGAATCCTCCGCACGTATGTAGATAGTGTGTGAACCGTAACTTCCACAAGGCTAATTAGCGTTAAAACCATATCGGACGATACTAAAAGTTATATTAAAAATAAATTTTGGTACCAAATAACGACCAGCAGATGAGATCTCGTTAATTTGACAAATCATTATTTATGACCCGAAGTGTTTAATCTTCGAGTTCATCGAACGCGGCCTTGACATTTGTTATGCAACCACCATCTGAAATGAATGCAGTTTTAAATAAATACAACGGTCAGGAGGAGAAGAATTGCCAGCTAATGAGAGACAAACAAAGACCAGAAAGAAATCAACCATATCTTAGCTCGATAGGTTCCGGTGGTTTGGTGTTGTATTGTTCTTTTTGGAATCGATCCTGTTTACCATAAGTGCAATTAAAGTCGAGTTAATACTGGAGTTTAATGTACCTAATAATAAAAAAAATTGATTCCTACTCACAAACATACAACTAGAAGTACGCATAGACGACACATTTCCCTTTTCTTTCTCGCCTGAACGAGGACTATCTGCCTACATATTACGATACGCCGCCGGCACTGCATTGATGGTGCACCACAAAACTACAGCAAATACAGTAAAAAAACTTCAATCATTTACAAAGGCACAG